TATTGAAAAGTTGTGGCAGACTGGTGAAGTTCCCACTGACTGGAAAAGGGGAAACATAGCCCCCATTTTTAAAAAGAGAAAAAAGGAAGACCTGGGGAACTACAGGCCAGTCAGTCTCACCTCTGTGTCCAGCAAGATCATGGAGCGGATCCTCCTGGAAACTATGCCAGGGCACATGGAACATAAGGAGGTGATTGGTGACAGCCAGCATGGCTTCACTAAGGGCAAATCATGCCTGACAAACTTGGTGGCCTTCTACAATGGCGTTACAGCTTTGGTGGATAAGGGGAGAGCAACGGACAGCATCTACCTGGACTTGTGCAAAGCATTTGACACTGTCTCACACAATATCCTTGCCTCTAAATTGGAGAGATACGGATTGGACAGATGGACGACTCAGTAGATAAGGAACTGGCTGGATGGTCGCACTCAAAGAGTTGCGGTCAATGGCTCGAGTGGAGACCAGGGACAAGTGGCATTCCTCAGGGGTCGGTACTGGGACCGGCGCTGTTTAACATCTTTGTCGGGGACACAGACAGTGGGATTGAGTGCTCCCTCAGCAACTTTGTCGACAACACCAAGCTGTGTGGTGCAGTCGATGCTCTGGAGGGAAGGGATGCCATCCAGAGGGACCTTGACCAGCTTGAGAGGTGGGCCGTTGTGAACCTCATGAAGTTCAACAAGGCCAACCGCAAGGTCCTGCACGTGGGCCGGGGCAATCCCAAGGACAAACACAGGCTGCGTGATGAGTGGATTGAGGGCAGTCCTGAGGAGAAGGACTTGGGGGTATTAGTGGATTAAAAACTGAGTATCAGCCAGCAACGTGTGCCTGCAGCCCAGAAAGCCAGTTGCATACTGGGCTGCATCAAAAGAAGTGTGGCTAGCAGGTCAAGGGAGGTGATTCTCACCTACTCCACTCTCCTGAGACCCTATCTGGAGTACTGGGTTCAGCTCTGGGGCCCCCAGTGTAAGAAAGACTTGAGCAGGTCCAGAGGAGGGCCATGAAGGTGATCAAGGGGCTGGAGCACCTCCCCTATGAGGATAGGCTGAGAAAGTTGGGGTTGTTCAGCCTAGAGAAGAGAAGGCTCCAGGGAGACCTTATAGCAGCCTTCCAATACTTAAAGGGGGACTACACGAAAGATAGGGAGGGAGTGTAGTGATAGGACAAGGGGTAAGGGTTTTCAGTGAAAGAGGGTAGATTTAGATTAGATGTAGGGAAGAAATTCTTTACTGTGAGGGTGGCGAGACCCTCTAACAGGTTTCCCAGAGAGGTTGCAGATGCCCCATCCCTGGAAGAGTTCAAGGCTAGGTTGGATGGGGCTTGGAGCAAACTGGTCTAGTGGAAGGGGTCCCTGCCCATGGCAGAAGGGGTTACCATGAGATGATCTGGAAGGTCCCTTCCAACCCAAACCATTCTGATTCAAACTCTTTTCACAGGAAATACAAACAGCTTATAACAGTTGCATTTTGCAACTCCGCTATATCAATTAAAAAAAAAAAAAGCAAATAAAAAGGCTGGTTTTCCTCAAGTGTTCAATCAAGCACAGAATAAGGAAACACAGGGGGAAAGAGGAGCTTTCCGCGTTGTGTAACAAGGAAGGTGTCTGCAGAGCTGTGACTTTTATCAGACAGCTCACTGAGTAATCTTAATCAAAATCCTAAGACATACACAGGCACGAGAACTAAGGGAACTTCCCCTTTAACTTGAAGGGAGGTTCTTTTCACACTGAATTACTTTCATTATGGCTATTGAAGAAAAATTTGTTACCTGTGTATCTAATAGCCTAAACAGAGAATTTATCCTTTCAAAACCTGCTAGAATTTGAAAGGAGAAAACAAAACATTAAAAAGGCTGTGTTGTTGGGTTTTTTAAGGGGGAAAAAGGGGGGGGGCATTTAACTTTGGAAGGAAAGTGTTTTATGGAAATACTAAAATTAATTCTGTTTACATCATGTAGTTAGTTAAATCAGATGCTTCCAATGTACTAGTGCATGTATAGACAACATGAACCTTTGACAGAAACAAGCTTATTTTTCACACTTGCTTTCTCATTCTTGTGGAATGTTTGGTTTTACCTAACATGGGGAAAAAAGATTTTCTTCCCTGCAGCTATAAGTTTTTACTTGAAAATGTCTAGAATGTTCTCTTGGAGCAAAAAAGAAAATTATTTTTTATTATTCTAGAAAAAATCATACTTTGCAGGGCCTTTTCAAGAACTAGGCCCATGTTAACCAAACAATTGTATATTTGAAACAGGAACCACAGAATCTGCTTAGCAATCTGTTATTATGTCTTTTACCCAAAAAATTAAATAATCACAACAAACACTTGGACATGATCCAAAGGTTTGGATTTTTTTACTTTCTGTTTTGTGTTACACACTTCTGGTAATCTTTTGACTATGACCTAGCATATGTTTTTTCCAGACACCTCGTTAGAAAGACCTTTCATCTGCTGTTTCCTCAGATGAGGAGCCAGGAAAAGATCTCCAAGTAAGATCTCTGCATTCACAAAAAAAAAAAAAAAAAAAAAAAAAAAAAAAAAAAGGAGAGAGATTGAGAACATGAGCACTCTTCTTTTAGACAGCTGTTTAGAAACAGGAAGAAGTCAGAGCTGAGGCCAGCAACAGATAACTACAGAAGGAAAAAGCTTCTAGCTTAGCTCTTGACACTGCTGGTTAAGCTAGAAGCTTTTGATTCCAGACAAGAGGATTTCCAAATCTTGCCACAGGAGTTAAAGTAATTCTCTTTATAAAACACTGTGCTTAAGGGATTAAATGAAGGCCAACATATTGTGCAGTTCCAGAGAAACAAAGTACAGGCTGTTAAAATACCTGCAACATTTGCTGCAGGGGGAGCTACTGAAGAACAAAAGTCCCTAACAAAGAACAATTTTGATACTACTAAGTCCACTGGTGTTTTTTTTCTCCCTGCAAGCAATACAGAAGTTTTCATTTCCACTTTCTCTTAAATCTACATACACCCCCTCCCACCCCCCTTAGATGAACTTTAAAGGCTGCATTACTATTTTATCATCTAGGATGGACAGTAGTCATGGATCAACCAGTCTCCACAGCACTAGTCTGTTGTAATAGATATGTGGAAGATTGTAGCACTTCTTGGACTAGTATGAATTCTGCCAGTGAGTATGCCTAGAAGTATATGTTTCTTGTTATGTTTCCCTAAATCCTACTGATGCCTACTTCAGCAAATATAAAGTTTTCATACAGGAAAATAAGCTGGCAAGGAGCTACACATCTGCCACTTTTCACCAGTATCCTATTGTATTGGTTTCCTTATACTTTAAGTTTTGGAATTACATAATTGAAAACCTCAGGAGCAGACTCATGGCAACTGCCACCAGTTCTTTGTTCTGCTGCAGTCCACAAGTTAGACTGCAAAGTACATCACACAATTCAGTATGTCCCTCAAACATGAATATTACTATCTTCTAGCGCTAATAAAAGAATATATTAATATTTGTAAAGAAATGAGATACTATGATAGCAGCCATAACCATAACTAAGCAGCCAGTGAGCTACTATAAGATTATTATAATTCAGCTTAATTTGAAAGTTACTAGAAAAATCTGTAACTGTTTTAAGGGGTTTTGATTAGACTCCTTGTGTATTATTCCCATGCACCAACATTTTAGGAATTGTATGTCTATCCAATGGCCACAGAAAAGGTTTTGTGCAGCCATGAGTACACATAAGCACATCCAAATATTAACTTTGTCCTGTAATGATTAACTCCATGTCCCTTAAAGTTTTTGTGTATACTGGAGTATTATTTATAGAAATACATTTTAAAGACCAGTCTTTTCTCCTTTAAAATATTAAGTGTAGCATAACCCACTGCAACCAGTGCAAATACCAGAAACATTACTATTTTTTAAATTTCTGAAATAACAATAATCCTAATAGCCAAGTATTCAAATGTGTTTTTCAATTAAGTGTGTGAAGTTTCTACTAACTTTTTGAGACTTAAGACTCCAAGAGCCAAAAATATTTTAACTATATCTGCATTAGAAAGCAACCTCTGCCCTGATATATATAAAAATAAATATATCTTAAAGAGAGAGAGAGTATGCACACATGCAGGAGACCTAATTAGTAGAATGGAATTTAAACACAAATTGAAGAAACCAGCTGCCCGGCTCTTAGAGATGCAAATTCTTAGAAACTTAGGAATTCAAATGTTGAAGTTCCATAGTTCATATACTTATTCAGGATGCAGGCTTAAAAACGGTGCTAGCATTTACAAAAAAGAGACACGACAGCAACAATTTAATAGAACTGCTGACATTAGGAAAGAAATTTATTATGGAATAAGCTGGTAAGAAATATTGTTCCATTATACAATTTGTTTCCAATGAAATCAAATTTTACCACTGCTGGCATCACAGAACATCTTCACATCAGATGCAAATATGAGAGATCAATTACTAAGTCACTTAGTAGCACTAAGTTTAACAAAAGCAGATAGTTCAATTATAGTACCTAGAACAGATTATAAGCATAACTTTAATAAGCTGCAACTGCACCGCAGCTACAAGAACTTGATCAAAGTGCCACATGAATTCTCTCTTTGGAAAAATTTATCATAATACAAGATTAAGACATTATAGTTACCAGCAACATTCTGCTACGAAAAAAGGCTACACATTCTTCTAACTTAGTTTGAAAATTTAAGCTATTATGATAAACCTAAAGAGTTTAGAAAGTCTTGCACCCTCTTTTCTAAAGAGAAATATATAATATAGATAGTATTTTACATATAGTATTTTATACCTAATTCTTCTAACTTACAGTTTGAAAATTTAAGCTATTATAAACCTGAAGAGTTTACAAACTCTTGCACCCTCTTTCTAAACAGAAATATATAATATAGATAGTATTTTTCATATAGTATTTTATACCTAATTGTTTTCACACTGTAAGTAGAGGCAAAAGTTAAATTCTTATTTTGGTAGGAAAGATTTTATTTCAGGCCCTAGTTTAAAGCTCCAGCAGCACCGTGAACAGAAGATGCTCAATCATGATCAAGAAAGGAAACAGTGGCAGCAGCTGCTTAAGTATGCACGGGTGCAAGCACATGACGACAAATTGGGCATGTTCCCGACTACAAAAGAAAGAGAAAAAAAGCAGGTAATTTGCACAGTTCACATTCAATTCTATTAAAAGCTAAAGGTTATTATTTATGAAGTATTTAATGTCCTTACAACAGCACTGTCTCAAAGTCAAATTTGACTGGATAGCTACCTGGAGCTAAGAGACAGCTAACAATCTCAGAAGAAAGCTTTGTTTTGCTTTTAAACCAGTTAAAGAGCAGATACATCAGGCTATCTGTAAGATCTTCTTCAAGGAATTGATTTTAGAGGTGGTAATTTTTTTCTGAGGCAAGGGTTAAAAATAAACTAGGTACTGCCCAAATCTAACAGGAAGTATTTTGTCCCAGTTTTCAGCAAGAGCAGTTTACTATGACAGCAGAAAAAGACAAGACATATTACACAAGCAGTATCTACACGGTAATCAATACTATCAAAGTAAAAAAAAGTTATAAACCCACTAAGAACGCATACTAGAGGTGTTCTGATCTGATCTCCCTAGTCTGAATCAAGTACCTCTGGAGGAAATGATGAGTTACACTGCAGGCTTGCTGAGAATTAGCAAGTCTAGGCTTATATGGTAGGTAAAGGAGAGTGCAAGTACAAGGAAAAAAGAATACCAAATCATTAATTACAGTTCTTTTCATCTAGCCTCAATATGATGCAAGCCTTTTTAAGACATTAGGAAGGAAACTGGTTACAGATTATGAAAATGAAATCTAATATCACATAGATTTACCAAAGGCAATTTTTTTAAATTAATCTACAAGCATTCCAGTATTTCTCCCACCAACCTCAGCTGTTACCGTGAATAGGACTCACATTCTGGCAAGACAGATCAGATCCTTGTCTATTCTCAGAGAAGAATCAAGCCATCTTTACTTCAGGGTGTGAGTACAGTAAAGAAAGCTTTTCTCATACCAAAACAAGTTACAACTCATTCATCTCTTTCATTCTTACTGAAAGCAGACCATGTTGTTCCTCACAAAAATACTGCCTCTATTCAAGAAATTGCCCTTCAGGTGAGTATAGATATAAATTACTTTCCTCACTTGCGCTAGAATTTGGTTCCATAATGCATAAAATTAACGGCCAGTTATTTCTTGGTATTTCATCCCACATTTTCAAAAAGTTACAAACTGTTCTTCCCAGAAGAATGCAAAGACTCAACCCCCCCCTCCCCAAACCCTCACCAATCCTGTAGTACTTACTTTCTGTAACCAAAGAGTTATACAAGTTTTGTGAAACAAATGATGACAGGGCAGCTCTGTTATGATTTCATCTTTCACATATTCACTGCAACAGATAGTACAACGCTGCTCTTGACCTACACTCACAATGAAGAAAAAGCATTATTATTATCTTGTTTTACATCCAAGAGGAGCCAAAATTAAAACATATATTATCAACAGTATCACTAATGATTACAAAATACAATCACACTTACTCCAGTAAAGTTTAGTGTTCCAAACTGACCAAAGTTATATTCAGTCTGATTCAAGATTCAAAAGCTCTTAGAACAGCATTGCCAGCTGCACAATAAGTATGTTTAAATACTGCATCTATGGTATTACAGAAAGCTAAATTTGTTCTTATAAACTTTGTGGAAATTAATTTTTAATTATTTTTCCATACCATCTTGGTCATCTGTGACAGTAATCTGTGGCAGACAATCTATGGTTTCTTTAGTAGCTGGTGGATGAGCCTGTTCAACATCAAATCCAAGAGTCTCCAAGTAAGTCAGAACAATCTGAAAAGGGTAAGAGAACTTGGGTCTGCTTACTCACAAATGTAATATTCCATATAAAAACAAATAAGCAAGAAAAGGAATCCAATTCTAATAGTATTACTTAAATGGAAGTTATGTCTTCAGGGCTGTTTTCGTTACTGCTGAGCATTGCTTACACAGAGTCCAGGCCTCTTCTGCTTCTCACACCACCCCACCAGCGAGGAGGCTGGGGGTGCACAAGAAGTTGGGATGGGACACAACCATAAGATGAACTATGCCAAGAACAGATGAAATAACTCCCTTTACTCTTGTGGAGAGGGATGAGGAGCATAAAATTCCAGTCATGAGGAAGAACGACAACTAGCTTCAATTCTCATTTCCCTTAAAGAGTTCTCAAGCCTGATCACCCTGACCTTAGTTACTGAGATAACCCTCACAGTGATCTCTAACTCCTTACTTGATACATATATACAGTTGCAACAAACTATGGAACAAAAATTGTCATATTACAAACATTTTCTATATACCCTATAAATGGAAAAATCAGAAACTGCATTTTCTTGCTGAAAATATCTGCTTTCTGCTATGTCCTTTACCCAAACTTAAAAAGTTAGTTCAGTTTGGGCTTCGCATCACAAAAGAAACCTTTTTTTTTTTTAAAGAATCTTTTGCTCCTGAAAATGCTGTACACCACAGCAAGCACCGTGACAACAGTACCAAAGATAAGGAAAAGACTTTGTAACACTACGAGAATTTACTATTTCAATTAAAGATTTTACATTTTTAAATTTGTGGAACACACTTCTACATCTTCATCTACCACTGTCTGACAACCAGGAAAGTTGTGTTTAAAGGCTGTTCTGAACGTCCTTCCCGGAACACAATTTTCTAGTTTATGTTAATCCAGTCAGGGACATATTTTAACAGAATATACTGGACTAGCCATTTGCAAGTCCTGTTTTTTAGAAAGCAGAAAACGTGATATCCTGATCCTGTCAACAGCTTGCTGTAGTCATTAAAACATAGTATCTCAGCAGACAATTAAAATTAATTCTGGGTAGATAGACATGACAGAGCCTTTTTTTGCTCACTTTCTCTCAACTTCCAGAAATACTTCCAATATTGCCTAAGAGAAATGTTGAACAGTTTTGGGTAACCCTTGCTCTTATTTTCTGAACAATTCTAGTAACCATTTTCATACTGGAAAGAGAGGTGCTCTGTACATTCTGCTTGATATTTGGAGGAAATATTCAGAGTTCTTACTCAAAACCTGTGTTGTCCATTTAGTCACAGTTAATACAGCAGTTCCTTTGAATACTCAGTTACCATTTTCTGCTAATTCCATTTATGCCAGACTTCTATCCCCACCATAAAGTTTCAGACACCTAAGTGCTAATTTCAAGCACAAATACCATTTAGGAGAATTGGCTTTCCTTCTTGTCCAGCATTCACAGAGACCTGAACCACAGGTACCAGAGAATAACTACCTTTGTAGTCATCTACCTGCTTGCCAAGTGTATTCAATGACACTCCATTCCTAGTGACACTAACATAATTACAGCATCTTCTCAGCCAGCCATGCACATAGCAACCTAGGATTGTTCTTACAGGTCAGCCTGACAAGAGTAACTAGGGAAATGTTGTTACACAGTAATGACAAAGAAAAACTCAGAGCCATAATAACCTCAGTCTCCTCTTTAGGTGTTAACATATAGATTTAAAAAAAAAAAAAAAAGATGGAATTAGTTTCCCCTCTCTACACAGATCCTCTTGCTTTGGTGCAAAGGAGGAGGTCAAATGCTTCTGTAGTTCTGTTCTTTTTGATGTAGTGAGAACCAGCAGCTATGACAGGAGACAAGGAATCTTCCCTATACAACTTCAAAATACTGGTTTTATAGTAACAATAAAGAGACCTCCTACACATTAATAAGCAGTTCTGAAGTGTCTCCAGATGAGTGGTCCTAACAAGATCCTACACAGCTAGAGAAGACCCTATGGTACTTGATAATGAATAATACTGACCTCCCATACACCATATACCTGGAAATTGAATGACTGCCAACTTCAGGGAACAACGCTTCCACCCCCTTGGAAAATCCCCATGAAGTTTATTCACAGAATCATTGATTTTGCACATATCCATGGGAAAAAAAGAAAATATCTATGATTGTTCCACTGACTGTCAGCTTTAGAAAGCATTTTAAAGTGTCCTTGGTATACTGTCTGCAAGCACACTATGACATACAGTTAAAAGGGGTGAACAGGGCAGACTAAAGGCTAGTAGTCAAACTGCCCCTTGCTGCCCCTCAACTTACATCACACACAAAACATTCAATTTAATTGTTGTAACACCGTATTATATGTCTACACATCATTTAACTCTTATTTTGACAAATACCCTGCAGGGGAGATTTCTGGCAGTGCAAGAATTGTCACATTGCATCAAACTGAATTTCAACTAGCTCCATATTCACTTTGACAGTGACCAATGTCATGTAACACATAAAAGACAAAGATAATAACCATGCTGGTTCTTGATAACAAATGGTCTGGTCTAACCAAAGTTAGACAGATGAAATGAAATTAGAACACGGTAAAGATAAAAGGCTTTTTTGCTTTGGGGTGGTTTGGTTTTGGTTTTAATTTAAAATGCGCGGACTCAAGACAGTCAGACACAGAGAAGTCTTCTACTGAGGAATAAAAATATGAGACACCCAATTGTACTCTTGCAAAAAAACCCCCAAACCTGGGACAATTCGTAGGCACAGATCCAGGTATGAACATTCCTTTATGTAGGGAATTTGGCAACACTCTTTAGAATAATTTAAATGGCATATGTTTATACAGGTAGAAATCAGTATCTTTTTTTCCTTTAAGAGGAAATAAATCCATATTCTAAAAGGAATAGCACTGAACAACAACTTTTTGCACTACATCATCTAAAAGAAATTCCAACATTCATTTTCATGCTTGCAGACCTGAAAGGTCAAGCTAAAACAGGAAAGTAATTTCTCCCTGATCCTCCTGATTTTCAGATTATGCTGAAAAAGGATTAAATAATAAAAACTTATGTCACAACATCACTGATATAATACCACCAAGAATATTTTAATACCTCCATAGCTTGTTGTAAGCGTCCCTCTAGCGCCATAATTGTGAGAAACTGAGGATTCATGTAAGGAATGGCTTGAGCAAGTCCTAGGCCATCACCAAACTCATCAAGTAGTCTGAAAAACATGAGTTAGGAAACACAGTCATAATTTCAAAGTAAACAGTAACAACATGAGGGCTGGCTACATCAAATTACTGTACCTCACCTGTTAACACCTGTGTGCATACACTCTCATGAGGTGGCTGTGTTGAGTTGACCTTGGCTGGCTGCCAGGCACCCACCCAGCTGCTCTCTCACTTCCCCACCTCAACTGGACAGGCATGTAAGTAAGACTAAAAGTTCATGGGTTGAGATAAAGAAAGGCAGATCACCCACCTATCACCATCACAGGCAAAACAGACTCAACTTAATGGGCTAAAAGGTCAAACCAGTTGAATTTATTGCCAATAAAAATGGATTTGGATGGTGAGATACAATACAAAAACTGAACCACCTTCCCCTTAGCCCTCCCTTTCTTCCCAAGCTCAACTTCATTCCTGACTTCTTTATGTCCCCCTACACCAAGGAGGGCATAGGGACAGGGAATGAAGGTGGTGGTCAGTCCAGGGCAGTTGTTCTCTGCCGCTCCTTCCTACTCACACTGTTCCCCTGCTCCAGTCTGGGGTCTCTCCCACAGGCTGCAGTCCTTCAGGATACACCTGCTCCTGTGTGGGTCTTTCCCACAAGCTGCAGTCCTTCACTAACTGCTCCAGCATGGGCTCTCCACAGGCACAGTTCCTTCAGCAATCACCTACCTGCTTTACTGTTGTCTTCTCCAGGGGCTGCAGGGGAATATCTCCTCCAGCATCTGGAGCACCTCCTCCCCCTTCTTCTCTGACTTTGGTGTCTGCAGGGTTGTTTCTCTCACATTGTCCTTGCTCCTCTCTCTCACACTCTGCTGTGCTGCATTTTTTACCCTTAAATATTCTCCCAGAGGCACCACCCTGCAGTGGGTCCATTAGAACTTGCTGGTGTCCCACACAAGGCAGCCTCGGCCTCTCCTCACAGAGGCTGCCCAGCAGCCCCCACTGCCAGCACCTGCTCCCAGTACAGTGGTAAACTCAAGACAATATAGACTTCAGAAGAACATGATAGGAGCTTTTACTATTGACTACACCAGAGTAAAAGGGCATACAGTTCAGCTAATAAATTTCATATGTATGCTATTAAGCTCACTTTACAACTAGCATTCAGATTTTTATTACATCGTGTGTCACAATTCATAGCTTGGCAGCTGCTTCCAGCTCTGTTTTCAACATTCCGAGACCAAATCTTAAAGCAGGCACAAGCATAATCATTTACAGATCTGTGTAAGCTCAACAGACAAAACTTAACAGACTATTAGAGAAGCATCTTCCTTTCTATTTTGAGTAATTAGGAAGCTTACCAAAGCTAACCTCCAACACTGAAATAGTTTTTGTCCATGTCCTACAATTCCTTTGCTAGCTTGCTGCCTGGCACTGTAAGAACACATGCCTTACTTCTAGCTTGGACTCTCATGCATTAGTCCATGTTTTGCTTTTTCACAATGTAACTTCACAAGGAGAAAATACCAGTGTTTTTGGTATGTCTACGCTGTAGTTTGTAATATTTTTAATAAGCAGAAGAGAGCAAGCGTTAAGTCCCTCACTGGAAAGCATTCTGTCTACCTCACTCTCAAGTTAAAACAAATGCATTACACTATTCTAGGATTAGGCTGTTCTTCCTGGTACTTGCAGAATTTTTGTAATAACTATATTGCAATATTCTTCAGTAATCTAATGACAGAAAATTGAATGAAGCATTCAAAATTATGATACTATTAGGATAGCACATGGCATTTCAAAGAGAAATAAAATAGGCTTATAACATCTAACTTACACCAGTTGCAAAAAGGAAAAGACCAACTATAAAATAACACTGACTTGAATGCTGATTACATTCACATTGCTTTACTTTTGTTATACTTCCACTGAAAATTAATTGAAAAAGTACATCCATCCCTTGAATATTTAGTGCTCCAGAATTTTCTCAGATCACAGCCTGATTTAGCAAATCTACATCCTTTTCCTCTCACTAGAAGACACATAGCACTTGAAATATGTTAAGTCTTAAAACTCAGATTATCAGCCTTTGAAGCAAGTGCATGCTGATAGCCATGAGTATTTTTGACATCTTACATAAAAAGCAAAACAGTAGCTACAAAACCTCTGAAATTAATGCAGAAAGCTATCAAAGGCATACCTCCACTCCACATCCAAGTCTTCACTCACACTGGAGTCATCCTCAAAGTTGTTATTTCCATCCAACAGGAAGAATACAGGATGCAAAAAATCACTAAATGGATAATTTTCCTCATCACTGCTACTTTCTACTTCTTCCCGGTACTGTAACCAAGGAATCTCTTCTTCCTCCAATAATATCTGTTCCCTTCAAATAAATAAATGAAAAGCTAAAACTAAAAAGCTAGGAGAATTTACAAACACATGTAAGCAACAAAAGCTACACATATTACAAAGGCTAAAGATGCATGTTTCCCAGACTGCAGAGTCCCAGATTAGGGACATTGCATCCAGGGCATTAGAAACATCCAGTGGTATCAGCTCCAGCCTCAGAATCTAGGAATGATTCTATGGCAAAATTATTTGCCTAATGCTCAAGGCCAGCAGTACAGTAAGTAGCTTGCTTTGCATATTCCCTAGTACAGGTAGTATCCCCACCAGAGCTAGTAAATTTGGTACTAAACATTTTCTTATTCATGTACAAGTTCCTAAAGCTACTAAAAAGAAAGGCTTTCCTGACACCCTGGAACAGCCTTCATGGGGAAGCTTGGCCTGAATGCAAAGATATACTATTTGCAAAAGAAGCTATCTGCATAAGGAGAAAGACTCCTCTCATTCCTGGATTTTTTAGAAGAGCACAAGTCACCTGGATGTTTAGAGCCACAGGGCTGTGAGTCCCACTTTATTTATCAAAGGGAAAATAAGAAGGATCGTGTTAGAAATGGGTACATTTGCAGACTGTTCACATCAAAGAAAGCTAAAGAGTACACAGCTCCACTGTTGTTCTGAAACAGATGAGGTTTTGTAATGTTTTCATAAAACCACACTAATTCTCCAAACCTCAAGAGGCAGGGATACTAAAAAAGCAGTAACAGTGATTTGGACTGCTTGGTAACAGGTACTGTCTACCTAAGAGTGGAAGAAGCTGAAAGAACACTTAGGCATGGCTTGTTGCTTTATAAAGACCCAAACTAAGAATATAAGGTCAATATTACATGCTTAGGAAAAAAAACCCCAACAACCTGTCCTTGGCCATTTATAGCTATAAATTTTGCCTTGCAACAAAGGTAGATACATTTTATAAATTAAAGCACTGAATGACCAGAAAAAATAAGGAAGTTCTCACCAAGCAAGTAGTTCAAGTTTACTTTAATCACTGATAGGGCTGCAGAAATGAAGAGCAGCAGTGGAGTATAAGAAGTAAAACAAAGATGTAAACAACTGCTGTGCAGGAACTAAGCAGTATTAGAAGATGTGTATGTAACATATACATCTTTACAATTAACTTGCCTAATCTGGCTTTTTAAAGTTGGTATATTGAGCCTATTATCCCTATTGACACTGCATGTCAATGCCCTCTCATTATTTCTGTATCTTTCATAAAATATAATTGTTTGCATGACATACCATTTTTTCCCCGATTTGAAATACATACAACTCCTCAGATTATTTTGATGTAGGCAAATGATTATTGCTAGTATAATAACTACTTTTAGAATTGATGTTATTCTGTGTAGTGTCATGTGCTGATGCCAGAACTTAAAGGAAGTTAGCTAGTAAAAAGAAAACATACCCTCCTTGGAAACAGAAGTCTGTCTTCTCTTCTACACCACTGCTGTTGCTCTGCACTTCAGGTCCATGTTCCTCCTTGCCTGGGGCAGACTCCCAGCTCTCATCACTTGAGGACTCCTCTTTTTCTGTAGCAGTCAAATAGGTAGGCACAACTGGAGACCATTCTCCATCACTGCAATCTGAGCTGCAATTTAAAGAAGGCAACGAGGTGTGAATTTCAACACTGCTTTAGGGGAAAGAAAACAAACACAAACATTCTATGATTTCCTACTTTTCTATGAACACTGCTCTCAATATAGACTATTTTTTCTAGGAGAAATTAATTTTTTACTATTTATAGATGTTTAACAAGGCAAGTATACATAAAGAGCTGATTAAAAAAGATGAGTTCCAAAAAAAGAATTCTGCCCATCCTACTTTGCAAAAGGATTGTTCTTCACTCCCTACAATTGCAGAGTACATGAAACAACTCAGGAATATAAACCCAGACCCACTATACTCATCCTTCTCCAAGCACACAAAGAGAAAAGAGCAGCAGTGACACTGAGAACACCAATGCCTGCTTAACAAAGAGTAAGCAGTGGGTCTTACCTCTCAGCCAAACAAAACTTTAAGTGCAAGCTCTCAACCTTTAAGCAATATACAGTGGTCCTTTCTTTTTAATCATACAAAGGTACAATGGATGACTTACTGCAAATTATATAATTCACTAGCCCAAACAGATGAATGGCAGCGATTTTTTCAAAGAGAATTTGCTCAGCCACCACACAGAAAAGGGAAGTAAACAACAAGTTGTAGGCAGCTTAAAATAGTGATGTTAGAGTCTCAAAAAGAATGAACTTACCTACTGCTACCTTTTGTAATGACACTTAGGTTTACTCAATACTAACAGTGACAGTTGACACCTACCAGAATTCAAAGTATAGTCAACTAGCTATGCCACTTCAAAAAGTTATAGAAAACTAATAATATGTGAACAGCAAACAGGCTTAGACCACATCTTACACAGCAATCCACAGCACCTGCAGCTCAGTGGTCACTCTGCTAAAAGCAGTATCAATGTTATCTCTCCACCTACAAACTCACTTGAAAGAAATGCTCCTTCTATCTAATATTACAAGTACATGCCAATAAAACTTGCTATTTAATGAATTGCAAGTACTTTTGAAAAACTGCACATTATACACTTCAAGTTTTACAAGATTAAAGATGACACAGATTATATGGAAGCATTTTAATTTGAAGCAGGACTATATTTTTCTGGAAATGAGAATATTAATTAACTTCGGGCTATTTTAAAGGATTACTTTACAGTAGAAATCATATCTGTTAAGAAATTCTGATATGTAGTGTGATGTATCTTATATTGCATCAATTAAAGCTGAATGCTAATGTTTTAGAGCCTTTTGTTTTGATTGGGGTTTTTTTTGGTTTTGTTTTTTTTTGTTTGTTTGGGTTTTTTTAAGGTTATCTAAGCATACTATAGGAATAGCCCAAATATTCAAATCTCTTACTTTATTTTTCTCAATTTTACAATCCAGGAATTATTTCCAACACAGTTTATAATAATATTCCTATGTTGTTAGTCAAATTTGTTCTCTTTAACATTTATACACAAACACTAATTCAAACCAGAAAAGAGGATACATCTAAAGTCATTAATACTGAACAAAGGAAGAACATTGAATGTGTAAATTTCCAAACTTAGGATTTAACTGTGCCCAATTCTAGACATGCAGAACATCACTTTATGGTTAGAGAGTTATAGACTTGTCACTTACCAAAAGCATAACATATTAACTTAACTTATTGGCACATGGATTTTCTGAGAATAGTCTTTCCCCTGGCTGAACTGGCCTGTACTCGCCATATGATCCAAAACTAAACAGAGGGAGCTAATGGATATGATCCTTGTCGCACCAGGCCTGCCCTCCGAGGGCCTACCATGACCCTTCCAAGTTAGAGCATATGCTGTTCTAACAAATATGCAAGACTTTCTCCTTCCCACACAGCTTCTACTTGCTAACACCATAAGAGCTGGGCACTTCAAGGAAGGAAAAAATGTGAGGTGAAGGCCCAGGCTGTAGCAATCAGCAAGGTGAATTTCTCCCTGGGCTGGAAATAAGTGAAACTTGACTTGCAGGATGTAGTTTGACACATATGTCAATTCTGCTTTTTATGCAGCTATATATGTGTATTTTAACATGGAATATGGTTTAACCCTTTAAACATAAAATGGCCTTTCAAGAGTGGAAAAACATATGACTTTGTACAGAGTAATCATTGACAATTTACTTCATAAGGATAAGTCTTTTGAGCATTTAGAACACAAATTTTTTTTTTTTAAATAACACATATACTTCCTGTTTAGTGGTTCAGTTAGTGCCATCATGACGAACATAGTCACTTTCAGATCAGCAATCTGTATTTCTTTGTCATGCTACAACAATCCATCACTTCACATCATGGAAGCCAATGCTGTAACTGTAAAACACAGTCCATTTCCTCCATTGCATTTTAATCTTCCAGTAGTGGCATTTCAGAAGTGGAAAATAAAAGATTATGCAGTAACAAAAATTTTTGAAAAGCAAACCTTACAAGGAAGGAAAGGATTCATTTGTTAAGTCCACCTATATCTTTTATAAGAAAAAAAAAAATTAATTCTACCACTCCATTTTACAATGCCTTAAGGATTTTGTTCTCATAATTGGGACTCTGCAATATTTTAAAGACAAGATTTTATGCAGATTAATCTTTGTGCTGTTCTCTCCACAAAAACAGTGGAAACAAACCACTAAGCAGGTTAGCTTATGAAGCCTAATGGCAAGAACACACAGAAAAAAGCCATATCAGCATCCAGAAGACATGTCTTATAAAGAATGCAGTAGGAACAGAATCAACAAGATGAAAGCAAACTAGAAGAAAAATAGAAAAAAAACCCAACAAAAAACCCAAACAAAAGCTATCACAAACACTACTGCATTTGCCATAAATGAACAGACGGTTAGAATTTTTTTTTTTATCCTCAAATAGTTCAGTTACATAATTCCAGTTCACAGTGAAAAGTTCTTAAACAGCATTATATGAGTAAAAGTTAATCAACATAAGGTTTATCCAAATTAATCTGTCTTCTGGGTAGAGAGCCCAAACCAGAAGGAGCCTGAATACTGCTCCTGGTGTCCAGGTTGGAGCTATTTGTAAATCTGAAACTGTTCAGAAACACCTACGAGTCTGAAGAACTCACATTAAAAAACAGGATTATAAGCAATCCCATCAAGTTATTCTTCAGATATGACAAGGAAGAATAGTTTCTTTCAAAAGGCTGGAGACAAGAACATACATGGGCTGTCACATAGAATATTGAGATTTGATGGCAAAAAGAACAAATTCTGAAAATACCAAGTCTTGAAGGGAACTTTCAAAGACCCATAATCCAAAAACCATGCTGAACAAGGTTTTCCCTCTCCACCCTCCATCCGCTCACTAAAAATAAAATAAACAAGTAATCTTCCTTAGTGGTAAGATGCTTTGACCCTAAACATAAGGAAAGGGTTTTTACATTACCAGAAGAATGTACATTACCATTTCTTTAAATGGACTTGAAGGGTGAAAGAAAACTGAAAGGAAAAGTTGGCATCTTGTTATCTGATCATATTCTGAAATTGCTTGAGTTATGTCCCATTTGCTAATAAATTATTCAGATTTGTACATTATTTACACTAAGACAGATACAAAAATGAAATTTTACCTGTCTTCATCTCTGAGGGTCATTGAGAAGTATCTGCTGCAGTCTTCAAACTCATCCCAGAAAGAACTATTTTTTTGTTCTTGAGCTGCTGCATTTTTCCTTTGGTCTATTTTTGTGTTCTTTCGATCACCTTCATAGTCTCTTGAGTCAAAGAACATAGATCTCCTCTCTTTGCTGTTTCTCAAGGCATACTCGGCACGGCCTTGCTGGACTTCAGTGATTCCAGTTTTCCTCCAGGAACCACCTTCCTCTTCATCATCATTAGCGAGAAGCTTCTCTCTCTCCGACTTGTTTGCAGTATTTTGTTTTCTTATTTTAGGTCTCACTACTAGCTCAGGTGAATTTCCTTGGGCAGTGTTTCCATCACTGACATTTAATTCATTAGCAATTTCTGTAGGGGTTCCGATTGCAACATCCACTGTTTTTATCTGCTGTGTTTCATAACTGGCACCACTCAGGCTACTTTTTGGTATAGCTTGATCTTCAGCAGAAGGTTTAATTGTCATGTTGTTTGGACATGCCAAGTCTGAATCTATGCTAAAATATCTTGTTAAAGGCATTGGTCCTGCTTCTTCGCAACATTCTCTAGAAACACTGTGGTTGAGAGTGGGCAATTGGGACTGTAACTCAGTAAAAGACTCTATGCCGCCTTCTAACTCAGAAAGCAAGTTACCTAGTGCTTCCTGAAATAAACCAACTTCTCTTGCCAAAGAAAATGTTTCTTGAGCATCATTTTCCTCTCCATCACTGCTATCTGGCTCATAAGAGTCAATGTTTACAAAAGCAATTCCATTCTGACCATTCAAATCATTACTCCCTCCAGATGCATATCCTGCAACGGCCTCAGAATTTTCATAAGTATTCATAAGGTTTCCTGAGATTTGGTTGTCTTCCAGACCGTAAGAGAACAGAGAAAACGGTGATGTGTCTGCTTCAGAAGTTTGGCTTAGTACACTTTGGCAAACAGGTTCTCCAGCTCCAGTATTTTCTAACACAGGCTCATCTAATAAACCAGAAGAAACTTCAGCCGATGGGTTGGAATCTTCAGAGAAAGCTGTAAGAAAGAATGCATTGGAATATTCAAAACCAATAGCAATATTCTCATCTACAATCACTGCTCATGAAAAAGAAAGGGTAATTCACTAGGACTGCAGTGCAATTTGATAAAGAGAAACATTTACCAGAAATATAGTAATTCTTCACTAATATATTTACATTCTCACTTATATAAACTAACCATATAGAAATAGACTTAAGTAATACAATTTCAGCTCACTCTGTGATACAAAACCCCCAAGTATTAAAGGAACATGTTCATAGGCAGCATTTTTACATTGTTTATATAAAAGGGAATTTTAAGATGAGAACAGGAAATCTGAAAAAACACTAGAAGATTAAAAAAGTTACAACATTTATTTCCATAAGTTAAAAATTGGACTATCCATTTATTAACTGGCTAAATTGCATCTTCTGCCACACTCAGATAAAGCCATTTATTGCTACTATAAATTACATACTAATAGCACTACATTTTGTACATGCAGCTGTGAGTGCAACTCCCCATAAGAAGAAAATAATAGCAGGGATGAATGTGGAATTACAGTTAGTAGTTACCATCATTGCAAATTCAGTTTGGTTATATTACACTTGAACACCTCTTGCATAAAGGGACAATAAATATCAAACCCAGCAGCAAGAGTTAAAGAAGGTAAAAAACACATATACTGCTGCTACTACAAAATTAATGTTTAGTTCAAGTAATTTGTAAACTCCTAACCAAGGCAACAGTCCAAAATATTTTTGAACATACAATGGCTTGTATAACTTGATGACAGTACTTTAAATTTTTAAGTTGATATCAAGAGATTTGGAAACTTACCTACAAGACCAAAAAAAAGTGAGACATGCATGGTTAATTGAAGGGATTCCCTAGCATGTTATTTTAAAAACAGGCAGAGGTAGGAAACCATGTAAAATGAGTGTTGCAGGGTTAAAAAAGAAAAAAAAAAAAGAAGAATCTCATCTAAATAGCTAATCCATGCCTAGGCTGGTGAATTTATGGTGCTGAACTCTTATAAGAGCTGTGCCTCTCAGCACTATGAGTCTGGCTTGCAGGAAGCAATACTGTAACATTACATTTAGCTAATTCAAATATTTAAGCACCTTCACAAAATTGCTAACAACTGAGGTTGGTAGGCAGGCCCCTCTGGAGATATCCAGTTCACCCCTCTTGCTCAAGCAGAGTCACCTATAGATTACCAAGGACCAAGTCCAGTCAGATGTTTAATATTTCCAAGGATATCTCCCCTGCCCATCTTCTACAGTTGCTTAGATGTATACAAGATGTCAAGCCAATTAGCAAGGAAATATGCAGCATATTTTAGGTAGTACCCACCCATCAAAAAATGAGTATGGACTGGGGAAAAAATGTAATCCAGTTGAAGTAAGGCAAATAAATGAATCCAAAACATTTCTCAAAGATAAATTTGAAAAGTCACGATACAAAAAAAAAAAAAAAAGACCAAATATAAAAGGAAAGGCAATTTGTTATTAGGCTTAATATAGAAAATGAGTCACTCTTAGACTTTATATACAAAGCAATTGTATTAAGGACAAGGAGATAACATACTCTAAACTGCATATTTCTTACGACCCCTAAAAATAATAGCATGCTCATTTCTGAGTAACTGAAACAAGAAAGGTGGTAGCATTATATAAAGACAGTAGGAAATCAACAAGTATCAACACTGCCTTACAGAAAATAAACCTTTAACTAGATGAAAGTGTAGAAAATGTAGGGAGCATAGACAACTGCAAAAATATTCAAATCACAAAAAATTAAAACCACCCCAAGATGATCTACATGACATAACAGTCTCCAAGAACAAAGGCATGTGACAAAGTTAAGTCAGCACTATGCTACTATAAAAAAAAAAGAAAATTAGAAGGAGAAAGCAGTTACAAAATAGTCTAAAAAAGGAAGGAGAAAAAAGTGCTACTTTACAGAACCATAGAATCATTTATGTTGGAAAAGAGCTTTAAGATCACCTAGTCCAATCATAAACCTAACACTGCCAGGTCCAGCACTAAACCATGTCCCTAAGTGCCACGTCTACCTGTCTTTTAAATACCTCCAGGGATGCTGACTCCACCACTTGCCTGGGCAGCCTGTTATAATGCTTGACAACCCTTTCAGTGAAAAAATTTTTTCCTAATATCCAGTCTAAACCTTCCCTGGTGCAACTTGAGACCCTTTCCTCTTCTCCCAGGTAACAACCAATAGGACAAGAGACCAGCACCCACCTCACTACAACTTCCTTTCAGGTGGTTGTAGAGAGCGATAAGGTCTCCCCTCAGCCTCCTTTTCTCCAGACTAAGCAACCCCAGTTCCCCCAGCACCTCCTATTAAGACTTGTGCTCTAGACCCCAAAATTGAACACAGCACTCAAGGTGCGGCCTCACCAGTGCTGAGTACAGGGGAACAATCACTTCCCTGCTCCTGCTGGCCACACTATTTCTGGTACAGGCCAGGATGCCGTTGGCCTTCTTGGCCACCTGGGCACACTGCTGGCTCATATTCAGCTGGCTGTCAACCGGCACCCCCAGGTCTTTTTCCACCAGGCAGCTTTCCAGCCACTCTTCCCCAAGCCTGTAGCGCTGCATGGGGTGGTTGTGACCCAGGTGCAGGACCTGGCACTTCGGAAGACCTGAGGCTATATCAAACATTCTTTTAGCAGAAATCTTCATGCACTCAAGGACATGGGACTACGTCTCTAATCCCACAAGCCATTTTGTATTTCTCTAAGAAATTATTATTCAGATGCTAAAGTAACAGAAGACATTTTGGTAAATACTAACACTCAATATTCATTAAACAAGAAAGGGAAGTGGTCTGACTAGTATAAACAACTAAAAAGAGAATCTTTAAAGTTGTTTTATAGGCTTAAACTAAATCCCACTGTAACTACACTACAGTTGACAAAGACAGAACAACCTGGACCATGACAGGTCAAATATTTCATAGTTTAGTTCCAAACAGAAGGTTAGAATATGTATTCTCTTCCCAATGTGATTTGTAATTTGATTTGAAGACAAAATAACTTTAATTATACAATGTTATGATTATCTAGTTGGTTAGGATGCATTAATTCATTCAGGAATGCCCTTCTTCAGGCAAAATTAAACAGCCTAAGGCAGACTAATGTGCCTTCATGCTAAGTTTCATTCTATAAAGCCATGAGATGTACTTTACACGTGTACTTCTACACTTTACTCTTCCCTTCACATTTCTCTATGTGCCTTCCCCCTCCACCCCCAAGCATCCCAGTTCACAATTAAATGACACATACACAAAGATATGCACATACATAAAGAACTCCCTGTCTGAACATTCTCCAAATTTGATCCTTCGCGGTCTTCATAGTGTTGACGTTCATCTCTGTCTTGGCTATTCAAAGATGGTCTAAAACTGACATAGGCGTGTCGTCTTCTGTATCTTCTACGCGTAATGGTCCGATATCCTCCTGCTGGTCTGGGCCAGGCCAGTTTGCCAGCTTCTTGACCCATTGCTACATGGACGAAACAAAAAGACAGAGCCACTTGTTAGACAACAATACATCTTTATAATTTCCCTCTTCCCCAACACTTTGATATAATTTTTTTAGCACGGAATTTCCCATTTCTCTAAAGTCTTAAGCTTCACTAACAATATGATTATTAAGAACCTGAAGTGCTCTGGGATCATGTGTTATGAAAGCACATAATGGAATTTTCATCTACACTAAATAATATTGACAAACACCGATCTTGCCCCCATCTTAACGTGTTTGTAGTAAATAACAGAGACTTTACAAAAAAATTAAAAATCAAGTCCAGATGTCACATGACTTATTTTTTGAATGTGATACACATCTGCACACAGCTCTGATACAGCCCATATGTCAGCTTGCAAAAAAACACATTTGCAAGCACTATAATGGAAAAGCCTTCAGGTAATGTAGCACAATTCAGCCAGCCCTAGCTAGCTTATCTCTGTGATGGGAAAAGTACAATTAATCAAATCACACCTTCTAAAACAGGAGTCCTGAATCCCAGGGACAAGGCTTTATTCTTTACACTAGGTAGTATGTTCAGGCATAGCCATACAAGGCAATTGCCCACATATGGCTCCTATTATTACAGCAGTATTCCACATCAGTGGATCTTAATGCTTTTACCAAGGAAACTTGAAAGACAGTGGGGCAAACCTGCCAATACTGTAATGAAGAGAGATTTTAATAATACAGCATTAGTATCAGCTATTAATAATCTAACACCAGGGTTCATGTCCAAAGGCTGTTGCTTGTACAAATGCAATTAGGAGTTCAGTATTTCAGATGTTCAGTGGCTTTCTCCATGTCCCTCTAAGTCACTTTTAATCTTTACTAGATATGGAATTAACAGTAGCTTTTCTGTTCTTGAAACTCACCAAACTGAAAAGGACACATTAAAGTCCAGGAAGATAAAGTTTGCAACCATTAACACAGAGTTTTCTGAAACCCAGAACAATAAGAAAGCTTTCTTCTTTCCTGGCTGTGAAACCAATCTCTTCACTGTCCTTCAAAAGAAAATGTCTATATGCAAAGACACCATTTATTAGCAGTTATTTTATGCAGCTTCAAGTAGAATAGCCACTAGTAAGGCTGGTAGTTACAGTATTTGGACTGCCTAAAAGATACAACTGCACACATGTACCGACCGTCAGAGTCCAAGCAGTTTTTTTTTCTTTGTTTTTGAAACTAGCATCACTGCTGAAGCTGTCATTTTGCTAGGACTGGCATACAGGAAACTAACTCTGTTGCTGCCTACCTAACATAAATCATGAAAAATAAAATGCAAGGAAAAGAAAAAAATACTTTTCTTGCGGCTGCACTCTCAGAAATCACATGATCCCTCAAGAGCTTTATAATGGAGACACAAATAGAAGAAAGCTACCTATTGTAAGCTACAACTTTGAGTAGAAGCTAGCCTTAAGAGGTCCAGACGCATAACTTCCTACAAGAATTTGGTCTACAATTGCCGGCATGGCAATTCTGAAAACACTTCCTAGCATTCTGCACTTCAGTCAAATTTCTGTGGAAAAAAATCCAAATACTTTCTGCCTGATTTTCCCCACAGAAAAGAAAAAAAAAAAAAAAAAAAAGACAGAAACATGAGTAATATAATGATGGTGGAAGATTCAGGGCCTCAGAAGAAATGCAAGTTCCAGGAAAAGAAAAATAATCACCTTCTTTTTCATCCCGACATAGAAAAAAATTAGGTTGGAGTAAACAAAATAAAATTACACTCCCAATAAAACCCCTGCTGCAAGAGTCTAAAATATTACTGTTTCATTCCCAGGTGAATTGACAGCAACAGTGACAATACTTGCAGTGCTTAAAATTAAAAGTCAAATATTTACAGTTTGATTGCTTAAAATTGCAACATTTAAGTAAATTATAATGTGCTGTCCACTTCACTTTTTGTTATCTTTAGCCAGTTCTAAGAAACATTTTGTTACAAAAATGTCATGCTATAACTCACCACATTATATCTATGGCTCTAAAGCTCCCTTAAAACATCTAATCCTAGTCATGTCTTCTTTCCACACATGAAATCTCTAGCCCAGTTTCACGAACACTGCAAGTCCGAACATGTCCATCACTAGCTGCAATATGGCAATACAGACTGGGGACACAACTCAGTTAAACCTTTGCAGAAAAAAATAGCAGCTATTGGAGGCTTTTTGTCTCACTTATCTGTGAAGCTCTATGTAGTTTGGTTACATAGAATCTTCCTTGAAAGTATTTTCAGGTATTTTCCAAACCTGCCCATCCCACATTAAACAACAGAAGCTCAAATGGTCAGTTTGTTGTTAACTATACTACTCCTGCATTCCTTAGAAAGGTGAAAACTCTCTATCATCTCTGCTAAAAAAGTCTCTGCAACTAATGTAAGAAAAAGGGGACTGATAATTAATTTTCTTAATTAGTCAGCCAGTTAATATCCTTACTAAGTCAACCAGCAAGTCATTTTTATTCAAGCGAGCTCTGACAATTCTTAAACTTCCACTGATTATAACATGGCTGGTTAGCAGACTGCCAGAGGGAGCTGACAATAAGCAGCCACATCCTAACTTGCAGAGCAGAATCCAACAGTTAGATTAGTAAAACAGCACAGCGACAGAGAAATCTGCTCTCAAACATGGTAATATAAGTGGTTGAGACAAAAAAGGTAAAAATAAAACATAACTGCCTAATTCCTAATTTTAGTTTGTTCTCTAAAAGACCCATATTGTTCAAAACCAGATGTCCACTCAAGAAAGTCAAACTCTCCAAATGAAAGTGTTTTATGTTTTAAACTTGGTGTTCTCAGCATGCAAAATCTTTAAAGCTGTGTGCCATTCACTACATTTTTTGTTCCAAATAATTCTCACAGAGTACCTCATGCTGTATTCAACTGTTATTAAAAGATTCATCATGCAGTTATTATTCTGCCCTGGGAAAAATTTACTGGATCAATATAGGGAAAGCTTTCACCATTTACTGAAAGTTTGGATGTCACATTTGGTTTACAGGGGAGGTTAACTTCTACCTAGATACAAAATTTCTCAAAATAAGAGAAGGACCCATGCATTTATTTGCCTACATGCCTAAAATGGGCAGCAGTTAGGCATCTGAATCCAGGGACCAATTTACAAGAAACCTGTCAGGCAATCAAGTTCCTGAAACACATAATACCCTCTCTCAGGTCCTTCTTTCAGGCTAACCCAACCTTAAAAGTGGGTATTGCTCTATCTTCTTGCAGAAGCTCAGTTTAGTAGGCTTGTTAAAAACATGCCCAATACCTGCTGACAAGACACAGTTCTGCAAACCAGTCTTAGAGATGCAACACACCAGTGACTAAATAACCCAGGTAGGGGAAACAGGCTAGTAATTCACTTCTCAGGCTAAAGATGTTTATACACACACCCTCAACCTTTCAAAAGGGTATGACAGTCACCTGAGTTCCTCAAAGGATCATTAGCAGCTGTCATAAAGCAGAAAAGCATTTTAGATTACCACAGCTGGGTTTAAAAAAACAAAACAAAACAAAACAAAAAACCAAACCAACAGGAGAGAGTGCCTCCAAAAACGCACAGTGCACGAACAGTGCCTTTCCCAGGCACTGCCTTAGTCACCGACGCAGAGCTGCATGATTCCTCTTCACTTCTCCAAGCGCCGCACTAAGGACTCCACTCCCGAGAGCCAGGAAACTACAGGCTGTAACGCAGAAAGCCTCGGAATCTAGACCCAATCCATCTGACTTGCATAACCAACTTGCCTTCCCCGCCCCCCCCCCCCCCCCCCCAACCCACTGTTTTTCCAGGAGTAACACAATATTCAAGAGGCATGCATACGTGTGTTCACAACCTAGCAGAGTAAGTTGAGCATTCACAAAAGCCTCATCCCCTTGACCACAATCCTACACATAAATCTCAAACCATTTGAATTTACAGAGCCAGACTTAGGACCCCTGACGTTCCCCAGCCACTTCCATGCCGAGTCCTCGCACAGGATCCCAGCGTTCGCCCACGGAAACCCAGACACCTCCCTTTACTGCCCTCTCCATTTATCCTCTCCCTCACATCCTGCACGCCAGGAACAAGAGAAGCAGCTTTCTGGGCTCGGGGAGCGCACGGCCTCGATCTACATACACCACCACTGGAACAAATCGCCCCCACCCGCGCAGGGGCGAGGCAGCCGTGGCGGCACACGCCAGCTCCCGAGCGGGGCGACGCTGGCTGCCACCGCGGCGGGCGGGGGGGCGGGGGGGGCGGCCGCGTTCGTGACTCCCAGAACTGCTCTCATCTGCCCGGACGGCACCCGTTCGTCGGAGCAGAGACTAGTCCGTGGAAGCAACAGTTAAAAAAACAACGAAAACAAACAAACGAAGACCCCAACACACACCCCATATATCAATGAAAGAAAGCACAGTTTATCTAAAGCGGTTCTGGACAACGGAACAAAATCTTGCCTCTCCTCCAAGAGCTGAAATACTAAAAGCCTTCCCTTACATACCTAGCAATTTTTGTAGTTCAAGGAGAAAGCAACTGAGTATCGTAACTTCCACTGAAAAAAAACGTATCCCATAAACCTACAAACCTCATAGGGGCATTTTCAGTTAAGCATTCCATCAAATTTACCTGGATCTTGTTTTCACCCTATTATGTGCAGTTTTATTTCCTTGGTATCATTGATTCACACATACAGTCACCTCCTAGGCCTATTACATACCTCACGGGGAAAAACAGAATTAGGAGTGTGTAGCATAGGGAGAGGGAGGGGTGGGGAGGAAGCAGTCTCAAGAGATTTTTACCCCAAAATGAAATGAGGGGAAGGGGTAGGGGGGTGTGTGTCTGTGCGTGTGTGTGTGTGTGTGAATTTTCTGCTGCAGAAGGTATTTAACTAGTTTGCTTTTTTTTTTTTAAAGACATGTAAAGTATTTTTTTTCCAGTCTTTCAACATTACATAACTTTTTCTGCTCTTCCTCAGATTTTTCCCAGCATTCT